TTAGCTAATTGTTCGGCATAAATAATAGCTGATTAAAAAATTAAAAATCTATTTAACTTCAACTAAAACATTAGAATTGTATATGGTTGGCATGAAAGTAGATTCTTAAGCAAAACGCATTTATGTTATGTCCGAGGATTTACTGTAGAAATATTCAACAACGCCTTCTATACGGCATGAACATGTTATTCTTAAAATACTTTTAAGAATATAAACACGAATTAAATACGTTTTTTACATAAGTTATTTTTACTTAATTGAACCTCGGAAGAGTCTGGTCACCCACAACACAGGAATGTCCTAGTGTTATTACTTATTATCTACAGACGCTGTGAAATAATGCAACAATTGAGAATGGTTTAATTAATAAATAGTAGTTTTAGTAGTGACTATTTTAATTCTATGTCAAGGTATGCAAATGTTGTAATAAAAATGATTATCCATATAAATAAGTTATACATTTATAAAGAAACTAGCTGACCCGGCAAACGTTTGTTTTGCCATGTATATTATTTCTAGAAAACATTTTTTTACTTCAATAAAAATAACTACATATGTATCTAGAATTTATAAAAAAAAAAATTGGGGTGGACAGTGGACACCCCCCTATCACTTAGGGGGTTGAAAGATAGATAGTAGCCGATTCTCAGACCTACTGAATATGCATATAAAATTTGATAAAAATCGATCAAGTAGTTTCGGAGGAGTATGGCAACTAACGTGGTGACACGAGAATTTTATATACAAGATATTTATTAAAATATATTATACTCGCGTAAAAAATAATTTTAAGATATATCTAAGATCCGCATTCCTAAACAAACTATAAAGCAATACTAAACATAAATTTAATTTTTAATACAAAAAGTAACTGGTAAAAACAAAATTGCACCAAAATTACAACACAAATAACAATGACCTCACTCTAAACATGCAGTAACGTCTCGATCAAATCAAATTAGGGGTGAAAGACCTCCATTGTCATCACGGACATAATATATTTAAGTCATTGTTTTCATGTGTTATTAACCCCCCAACATAATTTGTGTATTTGTCTGTATCTTCGGTATGCATTCGTTAATTTACACTCTTCAATTGAGGTTAATGTAAACTGATGTCTATTTTGTCTGGATCATGTTTAATTATTGTAAAACCAAACTGCCAGCGGTCCTCTATTAAAACACCTATATAATTATATGTTTTTCAATAGATTTCCTAGTAAAAGCACTGTAAATAAATTTAAATCAAAATACATTGGCAACGCTATCGCGAATGTCAGTTGACAATGTCACGTCCAAAGAGTAGATATACAAAATAAGTCACTCGATCAGTTAAACATTGAAAGAGAAAGAACTATAATAAAAAACTATTTACGCGAGAATTTAATGTAAATTAAATATAGATGGCATTTAAAAATGATTCCTTTTCCATACAAAATTATTATTATTCAATGATATCAATTTTCACGATTCTCAGTTTCACGTAGATATAAGGTTGGTAGGATAGGACACCTTTATCGTTTACCAGCGCTTATTCAACAACTGTAAGATATAAAATAAGCTACAGTATAGTATTTTAATTTCATAAAATTAGTTTAGTCTTTGTGAAACAATAGTTACATTTTACCTGGGAAACCATTAGTCATCTTACAACATGCCTTCTTGCGTGAAACAAAGTTAAGATGTAACGGCCTCAAACAAAGAACGTGATATTAGTAGCAAGCTGTATCTGGGGTGAGTAATAACTATATGAATAAAAGTTCATCAAACGAATGATATTTTTTTTAATCGTTCGTCAATGCCATTTAAACGTTAGGTATGTCCAGCAACGCAAAATAATCTGAGAAGAACGGAAAAGAATGTGGAAAACAATTTGGGCACGTTTAATATTTTTGGTCATTATTATTTTTTTTGTGCCGTAAAATGTACATATTATATTTTATTTCATTCATTTTCATAATATTTATATTTCATACAAAATAATTTAGTTCAATCGAACGTCATACTCATCGTACTAAAATTTGGCGAATTTGATTGAAATCTAGATACGTAAATACTTGTGCCCTTGAACTAAATCATCATAAAAAGTACCGTCGACCTCGACACACATTGTTCGCGATTAGATTTTACTATTCAAGCCAACAGGTGATATTAGGGAGAGTATTATAATTCATAGGACCGTGCTTTGCCGGTTAGCTAGAACTAGAAACACCGGAATAGCTTTGAATTTTAAGATGACGTCACCAGTAGAGCCCTCGATTTTGACGTCAGGTACGGCGACCTACAAATCTACAGACACAATAAATTCGACAATGTGTGCGAATCGCGGGGGTCAATGAACTTTTGACGTATTTAAAATACGCACTAAGTGCCTTATCGCGAATGTCATACGCGGCACGGCCGCAGCGAAACGGGTATGCTATGCTATCATATTATATGTTTGCAAAACGGATATTTATAGATGTGAGTGTCCGTGACGGATGATTCGCGCTATTTCTAAGGTCCTTGTTAAGACCGAATGAGATGCTGCTAGTAGAGAACTTAAATCACTTTAGTTTTTTCATCTTAATTTGACTACAGAGTTTGAATAAGTAGTAATAGAATCTTTTTATTTTATGATTGAAGACTGATGCTACTGGCCGTTTAATTTGATGTTTTTAATGGGAAACAGTAATGTCAGAAAAGACAAAATCATTTTTTTTACCAAAATATAGTGATGTTCGAGTAAAACCGTTATTGAGGTATTTAGTTTAAGATATAATTGTTCTAAGTTTATTTGAAAAGGTTTCAAAAGTTTTAAATACTGGAGTTTTACTTTTAAAAATTAAACACATAATGCAATTGCGGGCCGTGACAGCCGGAAGCTTGTAGAGTTTAAGAGACGTATTTTAACGCTATTGATATCAAGAAAATGTGAGAAAGGAAGTATGTCTGTCGTACCGATGCACATTACATACGCACACGTCTTTGTAATATTCCTTCTGAGTATTGAACAAAATTAAACGTGAACCTTACTGCCAGTAAGATTCATATTCGCGGTGAAAGGGTCGCTTTGGAAGTTCGTCCACACAAAGAAAGACACCCGCAGTAGCCGCTATACCTATCTACCTAAATACCTATGCATTATGCGGCGGATACAGATCCAAGTCTCTTACACATACAAACGAAGTACGGAGGCCAGTTTTGTGTATGTGTCGCAAATACATACGGCTTCAATAATCTGCAGGTGAAGCGAACTAAAGCAAGGGGTTATTGCGATTAACTCTTTTATCCCTTCGTTTCCATATCAAAGAGTAATGAACCTTGTTCCACTATTGGACGTTGTCGATCAGTAACCGTGTGATCTTTTTGGCTGAATAAACTCCGTGTTTGCACAGTCAGTAATTTATGTGATTGTATTAAATGACCAGTTCGATTTACTGAAAAGTTGTTAAGAATCTATCGTATTTTCATTTGGTAGGTAGGATATTTTAAGTATAACATTTCCAATTCATAAATCTATTTAATTTCTAGAAGAGTTGACCTAAAGTTTGTTTTTAAGGACATATTTCATTATTTTTCATAATGTTGGTCTGTAACTTTGTGCTATGTACGAATTAAAATAACGATAAATAATTAAATATTGATAATATTATTTTATCGTGTTTGCAATTTTATGATAAGGACAAAATTTTGCAATGAATTGATTTAAAGTAATGAAGGTCACATCGTTTGCGAGTGTGAGTGTGTATGCAAGTATGCAAGCGAGCTCGGTGCGACGACGCTGCTGCACGCCTGCACCGCCAGTTGCAACACCCTCCCCCCTTCGCTCTCGGCTTCTCGCTCGCCGCGCCTTGCCGCTAGCCTGTCTCACCTCGCGGCCGGCAGCATTGCGCGACGCGCCGCGCTATTCACATTCAAAATTATTCGCAACATTGCAAAAACTCTCTGTGCAATATAAAATTCCGTTCTATATACTCGGTTACAATAATTTTGAAAACAGAGAGTTTCTCTAAGTCTTATAAAAAATTAAGTGCCTTTAAAAAGTTTGAATGCACTCCTCGTTGCATGTCCCGCGCGCGTCGTTATGAGAACCCCGTAGTCGCGGTCACGTTGACGTCGCGCGGTGCCGCCATATCTGTCTCGGTCACCAACTAGCAAAATTAATAGGTAATTATTTTCGCATACAGTGTTTGGTGTTAGTTTTGTACGTAAAAAGATAAAGTGTTACAGTGCAATTTATTATTTTTCAAATCCTGTGATTATCCAACTGGAATCTTGTTGGAAATAAAGGCGCGCGCCGGCCGGTTCTTATCGAGTGCAATGCAGTTGCACTCTCAACTTATTGCAGTTTCACATTTGCCAAAGTTTTATGCGCGGAAAGTTACTGGTGTATGTCATTCGACACTGGAGGATATGAAATGTGGTCCTAAGTGATTATTTGCTAGTGCTGTGTGTTATTAAATTGAGGGACTTGTAATATACTGTGCTATTTCGGTCATTGACCGCGGAGTTTCGCATCTTCAAGTGTCATTGTTAGGGTTATTTTTTAATACCGATTTTTTTTTAGGTAAAATTTACTTTTACATCACTAAAAGAATGCAAACCCGCGCGTTCCCTTTTTAAATTTTGGATGGAATGAGGAGTGCACAATCACATTGTTTCTCAGTTTCATATGTTTGAGTATCATTTGTTTTTTTGTTTTTCGGACGGTTAGAGAGATTTCATTTTCTTCCAAAATTGCAAAAATTACAAAATAAGGTAAATATTATGTATTTTCACCCATTTCCATTATAAATTTAAATTATTGACAGTACATAATATATAAAAGTTCTAAGAAATATAAAAGCGTGGCTCTCTTGATGTATGACATCATCTGTTGCCAAGAAGTGAGAGGACATAACACTAGCTTGGTTTATTCAGTTATCAAAAAGTTTTAAATAAGTGTATAGTTGAAAAGTTAGATTAGATTGCAAAGGACTAAGTGTAATGAGAGTGTTGAAAGTATAATAATTGTGCAGAATGGCGGAAGGCAATGGAGAAATATCTATGGAAGAGGTCCCTGGAAGGGATTCTGATGTTTACCGAACACCAGATTACCGCAAACTCATAGAGTATGGTTTAGATTCAAAGGTGAGTTTTTTATTTATTATGAATATAATATATAAGAAAAGATAAGAATAAAGAAATTATTAAGTACCAAATCACTACACTACATACAATTGAAGGCTTCGGAAACCGTTTACACTTTCATGTCAACGGAGTAAAACTTAAATTCTACTTTTACTTAATAATTGAACTACAAAATAAGAAATTCTCAATCAAAACCTTAATTTTGACTTTATCTTAGTTTATTGTTTTTGAATCGATATACATATTTATTATAATATCTTCTGACACTGGCTTCTCTTATGATTTAAACATAACTTTTTAATTTATATATATTTTCACCAGCTTTGTAAATTATGAGCCAAAAATAATAATTTTATTAAATATTCTTATATTAAAATTGGCATTCCCATCTAGCAAATGATTTGGTTCTTTAAAAAAATACACAATATACTTAACTTCTTATTAGAATCTCATTGCACCAATTTTATTATACTTAGAATTAGGTATGTTCTAAATATAATTCATATGTAAAATTAAAGAAGTGGCTAACTAGTGACTTTCTAGTTGCCATATAAACTGTTATCATTTTAATTCCTATGTAAACAAAGTTGCACCTAGCCAATGTATTTCTTGATAAGCTATAAAAATATTATTGTTTTTTAACCTTAAACAATAGATAATTAACTTTCTCTTAAATGACCTTTATAATATATAAATAGGTAAAAATCTAGAATTTTCAATCCCAAGGTTAATTTATAAAAAAATAATATATTCAAAAAATTTATCATTTTGATAGATATCATCATTTTTTTATCTCATCTTTGTGTTTCATACAATGTTCTTATCAAATTATTATTTTGTCAAATATGAGGGTAGGTAAAATCATTCTGGGTTTCCAACTATTTCCAACATTAAGTACTTAAACGAATTTGAAACATTAAGCGAACGAGCGAAAAATAATGTGCATTATTTGAGTATTAGCAATTGAATTTGATTCTTGAAACAAGCTGTAATGACTGGAAACTGGTTTACTGACCTTTAAGCTTTGTATTGAAGTACACAAATTCAAATTACCCGCCAGTGAAGCCCTACAGCTTTAGGTATGGCTTCGAAAATGTGTAGGCGACTTAAGAATGCGTGATTTTCCTTAAGAATTTGCATTGTTTGCGCGTTAAATATTCTAACTGCATTTGAGGTTAAGAAACGCTTATGAAGAGAAACATGGTATCAAGAATTTACTTCAAGTGGATTTTTACTGTAAGCCCTTTATAGCGTTTTTAAAAAAGTTGAAGATGAAGGACTAGATTGTAGATAATCATCGTCTTTGATGAAACCCGCGAACCTTACGTGACGTCGCCGGTCACGTGATCAGACCTTTTCACAATCCTTGACTTGTTTTTTGAGGCATATTTTATATTTACAAATTGTTATTACGCGTCACGTAATTCATTAGATCAATATCTTTAAAACTGAAGCAGGTTGCTTAATGTAATTTACTTAAACAGGCTGTTGGGCAGTCTTGAGCCTGCTGAAAGCAACATTTTTTAAAATAAATTAAATATGTTCGCTTCACAAATTTCTCACAGTTAAAGTAACGCTTATTAATAGAAAATAATTGAAATTCAATAAACAGAAGAGTCACTCCTAGGGCTCACAAAAAAATGTGCGCTAAAAATGTTAATACACTATAACAAAATAAGGAGGTTTGTATAATTAATACACAACAGATTAGATTGGTTCTATAACTTTGTCTTAAAAGAAGATTTTTAACCAGATTAAGTCAATATATTTCAGCATACAAATCAAGAGAGACGCAGCGTATTAATGTTTTTGAGCTAACTAAATTCCCTAATACTCACTGTAATTGACCAGTTATATACAAGTTTGTTTTTTTACATGATTTTGATGTGATTTCAGGTAGCGGCCAAGCTCGATGATATTTATAAGACTGGAAAGCTAGCGCACGCTGAGTTGGACGAGCGTGCGTTAGATGCCTTAAAAGAATTTCCATCCGACGGTGCTTTAAGTGTTCTTGGACAATTTTTAGATTCAAATCTTGAGCATGTATCAAATAAAAGTGCTTATTTATGTGGAGTTATGAAAACTTATAGGTGAGTTTTAACAATTATTCTGGATTGTTCAGAATTCTGTTTATTCTGGTTAATTTAAAATTACTTAAAATGTGTTACCATCCGATAAAAGTGCGTAGTTAAAGGTAATTTTTTCACACGGCAACACCGTATTGGATGATCGCCAAATCGTTAGTATCGAGGTCATCTTGAAAAATTGATTTGACACTTGAATCTTGTTATGCGGCAATTTGTGCCGAATCTGCTGCCATCTAGTTTGTCTTTACTTAATCACTTTGAAGCTGCAAAATCCGTAATAAATGGCGATTAGTTATTACATTCAACTATTACTACTATAAAAACTGTTTTTTGCAATAAGTTTTCCCGTTCACGTAACGGAAAAGCCACCCTTATAGTTTACACACTCTAATTTATTTTACCAAATTCAATATAAACTTACAAGAAACTTTCAACAAGAGGCTTAAATTCCTTAAATTTCTTAAATGGGCGTCTGAACTACTAAATATGTATAAACGCGAGCAAAACCGCGGGGATAAACTTCATTAAAAATTGTAATGATGTGAGTCAGTCTGAACAATCTTATGAATATTTAATGTGTTAGTAATTTGCATTATACTTTCGTTTTCAAAGTTAACATAATCAACGAGTATTTTTTTAGCTCAGTTTAAATGTCCACCTCGGATTTATTTAAAATTGAACGGTATGAAAACCTTTTTCTAAGGTTAAATTCATATTGATTCCAAAGTTTTAGAGTATAAGACATGAATATTTTGTCCGTTTGCAACTTATTGAAAGCCGGTATATCAAGGAATAATTATCTGTAGGTATCGTCAAGACAATCAAGTATTATGCATTGTAATATGACGCATAGTTTGTGGAAGAGTAAACTTGATAAATGCTAAATTTTCGTCACGAAAGTCTACACTATAAATATTTAAATTATCCATGAACAATTGAATTTGGCCGAATTGGCAGAAGGTGGTGAACATATCAAAACCGAACCTCTAAAGGAAATGTTACAGTACATCTTGTTTTTTATCACCTTTTGTTTGATGCAATAGGTATTCTTGTTTTATTTTAGCTTAATTTGTTTGAAAAACGGCTTAAACAAACGTTCTCATGTGTCTTTAATCTATGAAAAATTATTTAGCCATTAGTCATACCATATTATTTGTACAAAAGAAGTCAAAATAGTTGTTACAGTGTCGGCTGCACTATGATTGAGCAAGAGAAGAGTAAAAAGGTCTTGATGATTGAGACGCTATAGAGCTATAATACCTAGTTTTATATTAATAAGTTACATTTACTCATTTCAGACAGAAAAGCCGGGCGGGTGTGCAGGGCGCTCCCGCTCTGGCGGCCAGTGCGCAGGTCAAAGGCCCGGACGAGAACAAGATCAAACAAATCCTCGCACGCACCGGGTACACGTTAGACGTTACCACGGGTATGTATACACACAAAAACATATATATTTGTATAGTATTACTATGTGAAATTAAAAGGATATTCATAAGAGTTTCACACCACGCGGCGATGGTATTTACTAGATCTAATATTGGATCGTACCAAATAATTAGTCTCATTACAAAAAATGTATAGAAATCAAAACGATTATTTTCTTCTCTTGTTAGAAATTCAAAAGATAAGTCGTTTGTATTTAAATATGTAAAAGGACTCGTAAAGCAAATTTTGAAACTTTATAAATCCTTAAGGACCAAAACTTAAATCATTATATTAAAACTTTATGGGTATATTCTTACACAAAATTATGGGGTAAAATTTAGCAATTGAAAGTACATTTTTAATGTTTTAAAAATTCATATTGCTATAGCGAAACTGAGTCAAACATGATAATTTTAATAAGAGCAGATAGCAGAAATATAATAATTGTCGGCCCACAACGACTTAAGAACTGCGGAAGATTGAAATGTGACACGCAGTTAACGCAATACTCGATAACCCGATTGTCGGACCAGTTTGATGCACTCGCCTTGCACTAATGCACATCGCCTAGACTGGAATACCACTAACTAGCATTTATTTGCGGGTTTCTTTGACAATTTATAGCTTAAACTGACAAGGATCAATTTTAAACACGAGATCTCTCATAGTGATGATAGGCTGGATTTTAAATGTTTAGTTTTGCATCAAGAGACAATAAAAATATATATTCAGTTTAAATTCCATCCAGCTTGCACTTTTAGGTATGCCTGCATATTCAGTGTCTACCACTTCGGGAAAAAGCGTGATGATATATATATAAATAAATATTCAGTGTTCTTTCTTTTAGGTTTTATAGTTATTACGCTCATTCAGATTTATACTAATTTGTGTCAGTAGTCTTCGGACTACACATAGTAAATTATCAGCATCGGCATTTAATTAGATCTTAATATTATGCCCAATGGCCTACAAAGTAATTTAATCATTCTAGCAATGCATTCCTTACATTGTAATTGAACTGGTTCTTAAGTTTGCAATACACATAGCTTCGTCCACGGTTGATATTAATCATACCTACACGCTCATTGGTAGTAGATGATTATAACGTGATCCTTTTTAAACATGTTAACAAAAACGATATAATATTTGTGGGCTTTACTGTCAAATTCATTATTACTTGATATGTGTATATTTCTAGACACATTAAGTGCCTTAACGATATTCCAATAATTTCAGGGCAGCGTAAGTACGGTGGGCCTCCGCCCGGGTGGGAAGGGGGCACGCCAGGGGCCGGATGCGAAGTTTTCTGCGGCAAGATCCCCAAGGATATGTACGAAGATGAGTTGATTCCACTATTCGAACGATGCGGCAATATTTGGGACCTTCGCCTTATGATGGACCCCATGACGGGGACAAATAGGGGTTACGCGTTCGTGACCTTTACGACGCGCGAAGCCACTCAGCGCGCGGTGCAAGAGGTTGGTCTAACTAGGTGTATCGAAATGAGGGGTTGTCCTGTCGGGTGTAAGATGATGTCACAGTATAATGCTACTTCTTATCTGACCCTTTGCTATAACATAAATTAAATAGCATAATCGGTCAGTTACAATATTGTTCTTACATTCTGGTTGGATCAAATTAGTTTGTGGCACTATTTCTTTGAGCTCAACTCGCACCACGGCAATCGGCATATAATTCTTCTGTATCATGAACCACAAACATTGCTCTTGATGTCGCCAGTGCGTGTGCGAATTTATTTAAAACTGCCTTGTAATCGTTAATTTTAAAAATTACAAATGTCAATATATTGTTTAATTTGTATAAATTTTGTATCAATCAATTTTCAGCAATAATTCGCACAAGCCCTCGGTATTCCCAGCAAAAGCGCAATAAATCTGATACCTTATAGCTTCAAGTAATAAATTTATCGCGCTACTGTTTAGAAACTTGATGTCCTAAAGTTATGCGTCAAGTGATACATTTGCTCTTTTCCCTATTTAACACTGGTATTTTTTATATCTGAAGAACTGAAAAATTAAGAACAATTAAATTCCTATTGCTTCTCTATTCATACTTCATAAACGATTTTTTCCTATTTCGACGTTGACCAATGTGTATACTTATTAACTCTCCGTTTATTTGGTGTTTCAATAGTTACATTCTATTTTTTTTAGCGATAATTTGTAGCTTTTCTTAATATATTATCCTCAATCATATTACAATAAGCAATCTTTGTCTCCAATAGACATCGTAAACGCGTGCCATTTTTCTAAACTATTCCCAAGGTCGACACGTGTAGTGCGAATGAAGCAGAACATAATTTGGTTTATAGAGTGAGCAGGATAAATATACTTAAATTAAGTCTAAAATCGTTTTTCGCAGAAGTTACAATTATTAAATCTGTTCCAAATTTAAAAACAAAGTGTAACACTGGAATTTGTTATTGAACTATTTTAATTCTTAAAAATACCTTATTTAAACAAAATCATATAATCAAATATGTCACTTTTCGCTTTTAATATTGATGTTAAAGCACACATGTCTACAAAAACCCATTGAATTGGTAACTAAATTGTGTCTAATATGTTTGTTTGATTGGTATAATTTGATACAAAATTCTAATTTGACATCTACTTTGCAGGTTACTCGCCGAATGTTTGTATAACTATATCCCTTTATCACAGCACTATAGTTGGCCGCATTTTGGGAATTTTGCCCCATTGTATATTTGTTTCCTACCAAAGACGTTGTCAGTTTAACAAACCAACTTCCAAACTCCTAAAGATTTTTAACAGAATCTTGAGCTAAAAACTAAAAAAAAATCACTTTCGGATCATTTTCCATCGAAATTAAGAAATATGACTTATATAAAATTAATATTACTGGAATAATTTTTTTAAATGTTTGCTCAAGAATCCTAAGTTTTAACTGACAATATCTTTGATTTTCAGTCATGGAATCATCACCATAACTTTACTGTATTTCTTTTAAATTACTAGAAAGCTATAAAACTATATATGGTTTGCTGATTATTCCATAAGTGATTGTACCATGAATTCCCAAAATGTTGTCACTTGCAAAACTATCATTGTAGTGTGGTAGTCTTGCAAGGCACATATGCCTAGCAAATGTGTTCGTCTCATTGGGAGATAGAATTAAGCTTATCATTTGAGCATGAATAATCCCTCTTGAACGATCACATGTATTTATATAATTTGTTAGTATTTCTGGAGATTGAAAATTTAACATTGCCGCGAATTTAATATCACAAAATAACTACTCTTATTCCTATAATGTATGATCCATGTGGTCGTTGTTAGTACTGTATAATCACGTGTAAATGTGCAATGATAACACTTGTCAACTGATCTAGCCTCGCTTCTCCCGAGATATCATCCCGTTCTTACTGTTGCACCTCGTTCAATTTTATGTTGCTTTCATTTTATTTTTTTGTTACCATCACACTTTTACTCGCTTCTTTTTATTTTCACTTCATCAAACGGTCCACTTACAGGGTTAACTTTCAATTGGCTTCAAAAGTTCTCTCCGGCTGAGAGTTTAATATGACTCAGGCTCTCCTCTTTGCTCCGTTACACTTTCGGCTTTAACCATCAAAAATACAGTTAACTCATCACGATTGGCTCTAACCGACTCATTTCACGCCTCGCGCTCGCGTTCTCGCAAAATTCATGCTCCATTCTGTGGTCACACGACACATCTCAAAGAAAGGTCCATCGACGTATTCGCCTCGGCCGCCGCGATCGACGTTCGTCCCGAACGCGTCCAAATTGATATCCATTTTTCAAAATTTTGCCCTTATTATTTTCCCACAGCTCGATAATCACGAAATAAAACCAGGGAAGACTCTGAGACTTAAGATTAGCGTACCGAACCTTCGACTTTTCGTCGGCAACATTCCCAAGTCTAAAGGCAAAGAGGAGATACTGGAAGAGTTTGGTAAATTAACAGGTAAAGTGTCACTCGAATGAATTAAAGAGTTATTGTTGGGTTGAGTGCGTGGGGCTTGGTGTGGACCGCTGAAGGTGCCCCGCTTGCGTCCCGCTTGTCCCCCCGCTCCGTTCCTTCCGCTCCCTCCGCTCCGCCCGCTCCCGCCCGCCGTGCCCGCTGCGCCCCGCTGTGCCTCTCCAGTCGCGGGGCCCGGCCGAGCCGCGCCGGCCCCGGCCATTGGCTATTCTCCCTCGAATTGTTCTTACAGCTGAATGATTATGAAATTCGAAAGGGGAAAAAGATTGGCGTTACGGTTTCCTTTAACAATCATCGTTTATTCGTGGGAAATATCCCTAAGAATCGAGGTCGGGACGATTTGTTTGAGGAGCTTACTAGGCACGCACGTAAGTCCTGTCGAATTCATAATAAGCGCTAACGAACGGACGGGCGCATCTTGGCGCGAAGCGGCCTTCGCGCTGCGATGCCTCGGCCGTTCCATTAGTAGATTTGCAATAAATTAAATGGACGGTGTTACAAAAAGTGGCGCTGCCGGCAGCGATCGGTGAATTGGGCGTCGTTAAGTGAATGACTTGCGGGTATTGTTTCCATAATTGCAAGTAACGGCGTCCGAGTCGTTCGTTTGCCGAGGCCGTGCCTTGCTTCCGGCGGCCACGGTTTGTCACACCTCAACAATTGGCCTCAACCTCGAGAAAGCTCACTGGTAATGACTGGAGAATCTCGCTGTTGTTCTCTAGACTTCTTCAGTATATGTTCTCCTAAAATATCGTTTGATTTGCTTCATATTTTGTAGCCTTTGATGTTTGAATTAAGCGAAGGGTTGGAGGGGGCTTGTACTTTTAATTTGACGCTTGCTGTCCCTTCCTAGCCGTTTATTTGCGTTGTATGATTGCAGCTGGACTGGTAGAAGTAATAATTTATAGTTCGCCCGATGATAAGAAGAAAAATAGAGGATTTTGTTTTTTGGAATACGAGTCTCACAAGGCCGCGTCCTTAGCTAAGCGTCGACTTGGAACCGGTAGAATAAAGGTGAGCTTTTACCTAATAATAACTTTAAACGAAAACTTGCGTATTCTATATACATATTTATATTTTATTAATTCGCAGGCCGCAGCTAAGTACCATAAGAGTTTAATTGCCAACATCATTATTATATATTAATTATATTATCTTAATAGGTATGGGGCTGTGATATAATAGTGGACTGGGCCGACCCACAAGAAGAACCGGATGAGCAGACAATGAGTAAAGTAAGTGTACTCTATTAATGAAGTTTGCATATGATATGTCAAAAATAACATATTTTTTCGTTATTTTATAATTATTAATATTTGCATTTAATGTCGTAGGTGAAGGTGTTATATGTAAGGAACCTAACTCAAGACATCACAGAAGAGGCGCTGAAGGAGGAATTCGAACAATATGGTACCGTTGAACGGGTTAAGAAGATTAAAGACTACGCATTTGTTCACTTCGAGAATCGAGACTGTGCTGTTAAGGTGAATTGAATATCTCGTTTACATACACAAAATAATTTCGAGCCATTCTCGTGTCAAATGTTATTTATTTATTTTCCTGTATTGACACAAATTTATCTTTTCTATGTTTATTATTATTTATTTATGATATTACAGGCAATGCAAGAGCTAGACGGCAAAGAACTGGGTGGAGCCAGACTGGAAGTATCCCTAGCAAAGCCACCTTCGGACAAGAAGAAGAAAGAAGAAATACTCCGTGCTCGAGAACGTCGCATGACTCAAATGATATACGGACGTGGCGGGTCGGTACCGTTTATTATATGTAGACATTAAACTAGCATTAAATTAACATTACATTTACATTACTTTATTTATTTAATGTAGGTATCAACTGTTATATCGATTAAAAATAATTTTAATGTTTTGGTCCTTCGGCCCGGACTGTGAAAAAAATAAACTAATATGCTTTATATGATTTTTTTGAAGTAAACTTTGTTTTTATTTTAAGTTGTGTGTCGCCGGTGTTAATAAATAAAAACTCGATTAGGATGGTATTGCTTGGGTTTTCATCTATTTTAATTTTTTTTATATCATTTGCAAAATTATCTAATTATTTATGCGTTGTGTGTATGTATGTACACAAAAATCCCATGACATCTGGAACGTGTAAGAGATATAAATGAAAAATAATATTTAATTATTATCAAAGAGAAAAAGAAAAATTATGTTCTAAATGTTTTGTTGTTTATGGTAATAAAGATTTGATTTGATCTGATGTAATTGGTAGCATTGCAAACGACTTATAAAGTATTTAGTAACCTTATAATATAAATAGTTTTATTTGCCTACACAACAATTGTAAATACAATGTAATCCATAAAAAATATTTTAATGAACGATCGGCGACACGCACTCTGTATAGAGTAGCGTTGTGTAACGTGTCGCTGTATAATGTCAGATTTGATTGGTGCAGCTGCTCACCCGTGCACGGCGCGCTGCGTGGACGCACGCCGCAGCCCACGCCGCGCCCGCCCCAGGCCCGCGGGGACTACGGTTAGTTAATACATGCACACGCACATGCACACAAATACACACACACCCACGTGAAGGCCGAGTTAAATGACACGGCCTTATTTTTCAAATAACGTCTACTCTTTTGGCTTCAAAACTAACCGGAAGAATAAAAGCAAATTAAACCAAATCAAACTTTATATCAGTAATTTTTTTAAAGTACAATACAAGTTTATCTATATAAGTTTGTGACTACGCGTCTTTCTTTTTACAATCAACTGTCTACGTATTTTCCAATAAATTAAAATACTAAGTATAATATTAAAAATAAATAACACTAAAATCAAATGTCTTATTCATATAATATATCAAACCCGTTCTACGTTACATTATATAATAGTAACGAATTCATGGTTTTATCTACTAACAGCGTTAAATCATGCATATTGGTTACCATACAAAAACACCAATCAACGCATCATATTAGATACATAACTCCCACTCTCTTATTTAAACCTAAAAAAAGAAACGACCAATAGAAAGTCATCGCCAATGCATTATGCAATCCCATGCTTACGGGCGGGGCACTGCATTTAACTCGACCTTATTTCTATCACCATAAGGTTGGCAAATACATATACGTTATAGTGTTGACACTTTCTTTACTACAGAGTGCATTGCCGTAGTATACTTTATTACAGGAGACATAACGACCGACATTAAGAACTTGAATTAATTTTTATTGGATTAAGAAGGCGTCAATAAACTATACAAATACACGTACAGGACAGAGCTCTTTCTATTTTAAATCTAGAAAAAGTGTTGTCCTACAATTGGAGAGTAGGTTGATGTTTTTTTTACAGTTTATTTTATTAGTGTTGTTGTTTTTACCAAATTCACGACGCGAAAACAGCTGGTGGGAATAACATGTACAGGAAACACCTGACAGGTGTGAAATAGTCAATAACGACGCGAATCTTGCGCAGAGCAGCTGTGACCCATTTCATTGAAGAATATTTTAATTACCTTCAAACTCGTTTCGAAAGTTGTTTTGAATTCGTATATTCTTGCATACCATTATTGCAATAAGAATAAAAAAACTAAATCAATTGCACATTATATTCTTAATTCTAGATATACAACAGGACTAGGTACCTAATAATGAAGAAACTCTTGAAGAAATATTAGACGATATTTTATATGTATAGGTTTTTTTTTAAATTTTATAACATCTAACAAAATATCAACCTACTCTTTACTAAGCACAATTCAAGCACTCTGGTGAAAGGAGGCAAAATCCTTCACACACAGTAACAATACGTTCACAGTGTGGTTACGCGCACTCATGCAGGCTGCTACTTATCCCCTACTAACAAATCTGTTTTGACGGTATAGCCTTGAGTATTTGTATTGTTATTAAACTCGCACTAGGCTATATAGTCAAAACTAACAACGTCGCTAAATAGGCTAGTAATAAGAAGCTAGGATTAGGATCTTGCATGGTTTCGGAGTTTAGTAAATGAGTCTAAATCAGGGAAGGGCGCCATTTTGTCCAATGTAATAACAATTTAACAACGCATGCTCATTGTTCACCCAGGCTGATGTCAATGAATCTAATCGATCATTATGTTTACATCGCTTTCAGTCTAGGTATTGGTGGTGGCTTCGACAAACATGGATACAATCTCCATTCAATTTTTCGTCACAATAACTAAATAGATTGACGATGCATGTTTTTTTCGTGTGTCCATTACGCTTGAAGCGTAAAGGTGTGTCGCTATGGAGCCGGAGAGTCGTATGTACCGAGCGAGCGGCGCTGCCGCCGTAGCTTGTAAGTTAGCGTTAGTTTAGCTTAGCCTCTAAAAGGCCTTGTGTTGTGTGTTTATAGATTATGATTACGACTATTACGGGTACGGGGATTACCGAGGTGGCTACAATGAGCCATTTTACCGGTACGATGAGTTCTATTTTGATTACGCGGGGCCACCGCAACCGTCCGCCGTTCGCCAGCCTCCCAACAGAGCGCAACCGGTGGGTCCCACACACACTAACTAATATTATACTAGTCACTAGACGCTGTACTCATCCGTTTCGGTTTTGATTTGCAAAATTTTTTTTTTCATCTTCACTTTTGTTTTTTTTTTGTTGAACCCATCCTAGAATGGAGTCAGTGACTCGGTAAAGACGGTAGTGTGTAGGCCTGACGGTGGTGATCGATGGCGACGGTGGACCGCCTCACGCTCACTGGACTGGCTCGTGGCGATTTGAGCACATCCTTTCGCGCGGTTACACGATTAGTTACCTTCGTCTAACCGCTCTGGATGGGTGCGTTTCGATTTAACGTCAAGCAAAGTCCAACGCGATCGTAATATAAACCGGGCAAGTAGTTTGCCGGAGTGGCAACGGCCGATCGCACCATCAGGTCTGCACGGCTGAGGCCACTCCGACTAACGCTTACGCATTATTATATCCGGGTTGCGTTATACCTTAGTTATTCGTTTAGATAAACCCATAGAAAAAGTTATAGCCGTTAGAAGCTCTAGTTACTGGGGAAACGCACCTCGATATCAATGATGTATTACTATAATTGTGCCGACAATCTTACTTTACTGGTTTTGGCAATGCGTTAGCGTTTCGCCCGTCTCGAGCCGACAGTTACAGTTATTTCGCCCCGCTTAACATCATCCAGCGCTTTATCCCCATTAGCGCTTCGCCCCGCTTTGTTACTAACCCGTTAACACGCTCGGAGCTTGGCCCCCCGCATCCCCTGAATGTCGAGATCGAAATGCTCGAGTAGACGAATTTATCGAAGATAATGACACGCTTGGTAACCTCAGGACGACGATGCTATCGGCCACAACACGCTTTACTACGATATAGCCGGAGACATTCAGGTACCATGTGACTCATATCGATGTTTGATTAAACTCTCTCGGCTGTTTTGATGCTGTCCGGATTCTGTCTGCCAAAAACCTGTCCTAACCCATTGTTTGGGCTTTGTTCAATCGAACAGCAACAGAACAGGTTTTGAGTTGTTTATTCACACGGGTAGTTAGTGGTAGAGCTTGTACCTGATTTGTCTTTTGCTCAAGTTTGAATGCATGACGAGTAATGCGCATTTTCTTTTGAGTTAGGAATGTTGCGATACAATGTAGTTAGTGAAAAGTCTTCTTATATAGCGGCATACTTAGTAGGATTCTCTATTCTAGAAATTACGCTGCATGGCGTATATTTTAGTTTACACATTCACAGTTACCGCGGTAGCAATATTTATGTTTCTATGTAGAAGTAGTTATTTGTTATTTATGGTAACTGAGGATGTTAGCTTGTCGCTCAACGTCCACGCCCTACTCACGTTTGTTATCTTCGTAACTTGCGCAACGCCCCTATCACTAGACACGATAATAAACCTTTAAATATTGACACGTTTTCTTGATAATATTATCAATAGACTAGCTGAAAAATATACATATGTTATTATATAAAAAAATCTGATAAGTATTTAAATGAAGATTCGAATATATATTTTGTTTTATAAAGTACAAAGTAAAAAAAGATTTACTAAACCAATCTAAAGAAAACTACATAATAATAAATTACTGGCACTTTAGAACACACTGTCGAACTCCAAAAATAACAAAATAATTTTATACCAAACTGTCCCGTAGCGTGCCTACAATGAAATTATTTTGTCGCGTTTTGTTAAAAATTATTATATTGTAACTCAGGTCTATAATTATACAAAAAATTGTTACTTAAGCTTTCGGGTTCCTTAACACACGGAAAGCTAATGAGGGTTGAACACGTGTCGGTGCATTCGGGTTAAAGTTGCGCGTGTTTACCGTGAGTCGGGGCGATTTTGGGCGCGGAAGTGACTATGTGTCCGTATACAGGGGGCTGGGTCATGTGGGACGGGCGCGCGTTGGGCGCGGCGCGGGGCCGCGGCTGGGGCCCGTGGTGGTGCGCGTCGCGCCGCTCGTGGCCGCCGCACGCCCAGCGCCATGCGTGGCAACCAGCGCGCCAAGCCAAGTTTACCAGGTAAGTGTAGCCACATAATCGCTCTTACACTACTTCTAACCTACGAGTAATAAAGTCCAAAAGTTATCTTACACACATTTTGAACATACGCGCACTTGTATCCTTATCTTTTTTTGTAATCAATGTGTTGTTTTTACAGAACTATAAACTGATAATATAATTCTTAATTTTTATTATTTTTCTACTTAAGTTTTAATTGTCATCAGCGTTATGGTCCATTCTTCAGTTTGCAAAAGACAAATGCTTAAAAAGAAGAATAGTAACTGGTTTATAATTAAATTCTTCGTTACTTATTCTGGTAATCTTAGTTCTTATGGTGTAATCATTACTATAACCCGAACCAGGTACAGTAAATCGTATTAAACAATAAAGCATTTAAATCTGGGTTACTCATAAACTACTTTTGCGTTATTCATGACATGATTAACTTGGTCCCATCCTTGATTTACTAAAATTTTATATAAACCTTTATGTAGGGAAGCATTATGAACTATTAACAAAAAGTAATAAATTAGTATAACATTTTGTACTCATGACTTTAATTAAAATTATTCTAACTAGATTAATCTTATGAGTATACTTTTACTAATATGCCTATTCTTTTTATTCTTAAAGCGTCACATATCTTTTACCTCTAGAAATAAAAAAGAAGGTTCTAATGTTTTTATATTGCAGCGTGTCTGATGGTTTGCGTGTAATCTGGACTTTGTTTTTTATTGGTAACTACCCTTTCCTTCCTCACCCTTTCCTAAACCAACATTAGATCCATTGAATATAATCTTCATATAGAACACATTTAGTAGGTATCGTTGAAGATGTATTCTTATTTACACACCATGTAGCTTATCCTCCATAAATCTTTATCTAAATCCTTAAGAATGCTACTGAAGATTACTTTTTTACTTATCCATTACATTTGAGAAGATACTGGGAATTTATTAACTCAGTGTCGGTCCCTGTGCAGGTAAACGTAAACTGGATGGGGGACATCAGAACAATGGGGGGGAAAGCAAGCGTCGGGTGTGCGCGTGGGGAGCGGGCGGGTCGGGCGGGTCGGGCGTGTCGGGCGATTCGGTGAGCGGCAGCAGCTAGCGCCCGCGCCCGGCGCCGCCCGGCCCACGCCCCGCCGCGCGCCGCGGGCCCCTGTCCCGGAGACACAACAAGCTGCGCAGGGGAGCCCCCGCGGGCGCCGGCCGCCGACTCTAAACGCACGCAGGGCCGATCCACTTTTTCTATGTATCGTGTTTTTTATTTGATTTTCACGTTTTCGATTTGTGTCGCGACGATTCCGTAAAAATCTTAAAGTAGGACGTTATGAAATGTTTCGAATGTAAGTTTCCCGTTATGCTTACGTTTTCGTCGTATTAGCCGTATATATTTAATATATACTTATTTTTTGTGAGGGCGCGCGGCCGCGGTTGCCTGTTTGCGGCCGTGCGTCGGGTCGCGGACCCGTCGACTGTCTGTTTTTTTTAATACATGTTATTCGATATATTTTATTCCTGCGAACGCATTTTGCGATGTGATGTGTATTTTAGCAGTAATTATTATATTATAAGGAGTTTGACTGTTGTTTTTTGACAAACTTACAACTTAGGGTACACGAGGATGAATCGGAGACGAATGAATTGCACCCGACGACTCAATTACGGCTAAAATAGTAACACCTTGTAATCGATAACATTTCCCAACTGTGTTCCTGCTTTAGTTTTTTGCTTTATTTTATTACATATTTTCCTTTAAAATACATTAGTGTGAAGTAGTTATTGTAAAGTTCAGGATTCTGCAATGTTTATTATTGATGTACTGTAACTAGACGTTTATTTTTTGTATTTCGACCGCATAGCATGTCCATACTGTTAGAGCTCTGTCTTGTATCAACCTTGTATCAGTTTAATATGTGGAATAAATTTGCAAAACTGTGTTTGCCTTATTAATCTTTGTTTCCTTTCACGTTTACATTGTAAATTAAATTAAATGACCTTTTAAGAGCTAAGATATTAGCTATTAGAATTTTGAAATAGGTACAACTATTGCCTGCCATAGACGCCATGATCTTAGTTTTACAGTAGAAGTAGGTACCTATAATTCCCTAAAATGACTATATAAGAACGAGTCTTTGTCGTTTTTAAGTGTAAGTTCGGGACAGATGTAACCTAACAAAGCGCAAATGAGATATTGAAAGCTCGCACGCACCTGCGTCGCATATACTTCACAGCCGTATTATAAATAATAAATCGTTTATTTGAAATGAAAATGGTACATTCAGATTGAATTATTATAAAAAATAAACCATACAATCAGCCGTACATAAATAGGCATGCAAATGTCATAATAATAAGAACGGTTAAGTTATTTATAATTGTTGACATAACTTATGGTCTAAATACTCTCCCGGCCTCTTTAAAAACAATTTTAGATAGGTAAAAGAAAGAGAAACAACGCCCAGTATAAAGCATACAATAATAACTTAAAATAAATAATTATTTTAAGGTATCACATTTGGGCATTAAATTGGTTCTATTTAGGGATGCATCCGATACCGATGCCGACCGATATATCGGCGATACTTTGGGTTTGCCGATATATCGGCATCGGCGATATTTTCATTGCCGATTCACCGATACTTTTCAAATTTCACGCTTTAAAAAAATAATGTAAACGCGCATTTTGTATGATCTAGTTTGTTGCAAACGAGCCATGGACTATTGTTGCCCGAGAAATCCCCGCGTTTTATTCAGTTTGTTGTCTCTATCATTCGCTTGGGGACAAAGCATTATTATTTATGTATATTATATGTATTTAAACCTTTAAAATTATTCAATGTTGTTGACTATTTTTTGTATATAGTATATATACAAAAAATAAAAATTATAAACTTTAACTTGATGTATTTTACCTTAATTTAAAGGTATCGGTATCGACGATATTCCTATAAGTGTATCGGCATCGGTATCGTATCGGCAAAAAACCGTATCGATGCATCCCTAGTTCTATTATTAGCCTAGTAGCAGACTCAGTAACATTGAAGCTACGGTATCTGCTTCAGGGAACGATAAGTTCTCGCCTCATCCTATCTATAGGTAAAATAAAACAAAAATATAATTAAAGTATTGTATTCGGTCACACTGTATCCGTGGGGGCTGCCAGCCTCGCAGCAAGGGGTCTCGGGGGCGGGCGTGGTGGTGGCGGTGGACCTCGAGGGACCCTGCGCCTGCGACGCCAACACACGCCCAACGTAACGAACCCTCCACCCGCGCACCCCGCAACCCACCATAATGTGCTGCCGTCGCTGTCCGCCGGATGCGCATCTTCGCCTGTGTATATATTCTTTCTTGGCCCTTGCTCATATCAATACCGACTTGCCAACAATGGTCTTTTATAAATGAATTATCACAACATTGACAAACAATAATATCTAATCTTTTGTCAAATTTGAACTGTGTTTGTAGGTTGTTTTACATTGTTTTTTTATTGCATAACGGACTGCCAATAATTATGTAAGTAGATGGCGATTTTTCAATTGTACTTATATATATTTCTTTGTTATCGTTCACTAGAAAAATCTACTAGCAATTCAGAATCAATACGAAAACGAATTTAGTTTCTCTTTGAATTAAATAATTTAAGACATTCATTTATGCAATTCAGAGCAAAAATCAAATAGCTACCGTTAGTAAAAAGTAAATACCTATTACCGTTATGCAAATGTTTCATTGTTTAGCTTATTTAAATTTAGCAAAAAAGTTTTATATGAATCCAGTTTAGAACATGCAACATTTATTTGGGCTCAGTTATGAAGAAGCTGACAGACAGAAGAAGGAACAGTGAAGTCATTCGCAGCCTAGAAAGCGATCTAGTTAAGCGAAGCTAAGCTTTTCCGTGGCTTTTATATACCGAGTTATACAAACAATGCACAGTTTTGTTCTTTATTCCGGCTCGAAGGTCCAGAAAAAAAGTACATTGAAAAAGTTTAGCCTATCTAGTATGCGCGCTTGAAGTTATATTCTATTAAGCAAATGGGGGGTAAGGTGAGGATGTGCGCGGCGAAAGGGGGTGGTAAATATAGACTCACGTGTGCAACGCCCGGTCAGTGCGGGGCGGCGAGCACAAGCAATAGAACAGCGAGCGTGGCGCGGCGCGCGGCCTGGCCCGACGCCGCAGCGCCTGCGCACACCGCCGCGTCAGCCCAAGGGTACGCCAACCGTATATCTCTGACCATCTTTCACGAATATCTCGTGGAAGATGTCAGAACTTAAACATCATCTTTACATCGTTAAAACTAGTCAATAATTTTTCAAATTCGTTGAAATACTTGCTTCTATTGTTGTGAAAGTAATATCAAATGGAATAGCTGCAAGTATTTCTTCGGCGTACCCCCGGCTCCATAGTGCGATGACTCAATGCAAGCTTCGTCCCATCGGAATTTTGACATTAACGCCATCAAAGTATCCAATCTAGTTCTAATATCCTGAGTCATCACAGTATAAATAAGAAAAGAATAAAAAATTTAAACTAGAAAAGTTTAGCAAAAATTATGAATGTAATATTATGAAATAGTATGAAAACATTAAAGTCGAAAGGGTCGTTTTTAAACAAATAAAAGAGTTGATAATTATTGCAACAACGTCAATATATTGTACTAATTCACCAACAACGATTGTTAATAATATTGTGTAAAGTTCTAAATACCTAACAACTTTGAAATACATTGTAATCCTTTGAGACAAAGATTGCATTGAACCGTCAATACTGAGAAGAAATTGTGAATATAACGTTATTTTGTGTTATTCAAACAATTATTTAAGTTCTACATTTAGATACAATATGCTTAAGATTTAAGAGAAAGACGAAGAAGTAAGCAGTAAGTTAGAATAAAAAAAATAAAGTCAATTCGGTTATCTGTTTGGAATTTGTATGTACTGCTTACTCCTATTATGAGCTACTTATTATAACTTATTCCATTTTATTTATTTATTATTTATTACACACATGACTGTACGAGAACAAAACCTACAAATATCTACAAGGTAGGTACAATGAAGTTTTTGTGTAAAAAATATCTTAAAACTCAATACGATACAATTAACTAATTAAACCCATAATATGTATTTAAATATCATGATTTTTAACTAAAACAATCGAGTGTATTCAATTAAAATAACATCATTTCTATTTTCAATGTCGTCTACTTAACCAAAATACTTCAAACATGTTTAAGAAAATTACAAAACTGATCATATTTTATAATAGGTAAATTATACATAAAAATACATTATGTAGTTTACTTTATATGCGGTGAAATCTAGATAATACTTGTGCTTAGTGACTTTGCCAATAATGCAAGTGTAACTTTGATACGGGTTAGCTTTTTGTAATTTAGCGGGTAAGCTAAAAATATTTACATTTATTCAAGCTACTTGTGCTAAAGCTTTATTTTCTGCTAAGCTTGTGTTGCAAACAAATTCCAATATAATCGTAATTTCAGTGACCATTCAAAGAAGAAACAACGTCCAAATTGACTTAAATTTAGGAAATATTTTACAAATTAATGTTTTGTTTCCAAGTAACCAATTAAGCAATGAGTAAATATTAGAATTTAATGGATACCATATTAAGAAATCTAAAACATAAATTATAGCCTGCAACGTATGAGTTGTATTAATTCAAGCATTTTAATTGTTGAATTAAAATTCTATACTTATTTAAAAAAATGTGTTCAATTTATACAAAATTTTAGATTTGATCTATCATTGTCTATGAGTTGATGAAATTGATGTTCTATTAAACGTTAAGGTAAAGTGTTATCCTTACTCTTAGAGGTTGTAAGTGTGCGAATAAACTATCGCATAAAGAACTTGAAACCTTTAAATTATTAGTAAATACTCTTACAACCATTAAAACCATAATGGTTTTAATTGCATGCTTTGCGACGGGCAATTGACGCTACCATGTGTACGATAGAGCCATGAATCGACTACTCTACTTCGACTTCTTCGCGCCTAGTGTGTATGTGTAAATGTGCAAACATACTAACATCGTGGAGACTTGCGCTGTCCTGCGCAATGTGGGAGACCAGAGCACAGAGCTCCAGGAGGAAGACAGGCGCCGCCACACGCTTCGGGACACTCTTCACCTACACCTACTGTCACTTCCGTCCATACAGCCCGCCAACCCGCAGCTCCTACCGACTTGTCCGCTATTATAAACCTGAAATTTATTTTTAGATTTTTAATATAGGCCTGAATCCAATAAAATCTCTATCTATCGGTCTACGTAAAGCATCACATAATTGTAAACTTTTTGTAGATAATTTTGTAGTCGTTAATAATTTAGATCAGATTGATAGTAAATTCATGTTTTGGAATTTGGTACTTAAGAAAAGTAAAGCGATAAACATACGAAAGCCTGATGGAGTTGGAAGAAGAGAGATACTGCCACCGATCACCAGGTGCCTTTTCACCACACAACTCCAATGGAGGTCCTGGACTTTCATACCAGAGTCGAAGAACTGCTGCAGGACAACCGCGTTCTGAAACGGTGTTCGTTATTCTCAGAAGGACATTTCGACCATTTAAAAAATGGACTGTAAATGAATTCTATTTTTGTAATGCTTAGGATATTAACTGCCTTCAATTCAATGGGTTTGCACGATAGCATTTGAAATTAACAAACTCTCTCTATGTGTGGTGTATAAAGGTGTTTGTTTTTATTTAATCAAGGACAGAGGCATGTGAAAAGTGTGTTCAATGTTCATTGATCATTTCATTCTAAAGTTGCAGCATTTAAGCATTCTTGTACCTCAGTCGATGTTGTTACTGTTAAGATCAAGCCTTCCAAAAATAAATTACATTATTATTTAGATTTATTAAGTAGATTTCGGTACAAGAAATGAACCGATTACCTATACCTATGCAAATTAGCAGGAATAATCCCTCACGGACAACTACGAACTATGAATTAAATTCGCATTTGAATCTATTAAACAGTTATATACTTGCGTAAAACAAAAGGTAATTTATATAAAAGTATGATGATTCAGAAACAAGACTTAGCGTGAACAATGACTCCCGTATGTCCAAATCTTATACATTTTTGAGGCACGGGAGTCAAGACTAAATCTGGTATCTGAATCTTACTCTGAAGCCCCATCGGTTTCAATCATGATCGTTAACTCACCAGTGAGATGGCCTTCAACGGCAAAGTGATCGAAGTTAAGCAGCAGACGTCTTCCAGGCTTAGCCGTTATGAACCAGTTGCAGACCCTCGATGCTGCTCCTCTTGCTGGTGCTTCATAAGGGAGAGGGTAACGAGGTGATGATACTATACCCCAAGGGGAGCCGGATACGTTACCGCCGCAGTCTCCGAATATCGATTTAGCGGGCTGTAAGATTTCTTTATTAATAAAAGAATTTAAAAAAAAAATCACCTACCTACTCATTTACTTTAAAAAATGAGGTAGGTTTTTAAATTAAATATTTTAATTGAAATACTATATATTTTTCAAATCCAAGCTACCCAAAACTAAAACCTAAAGGCATTAATAATAAACTAAGTAAAAAAACAGTTTGAAATTTGTATTTTATTCAATATAAGGTTCGTTTTTGGTTGCAATGATGGGTTAGGTAGTTCGGTTTTCTCAAACTCTCAAAGAACATTAAGGAAATCCATATAATGTTTTCTTATATCATTAAAAATCTTAGTAAATTGTGACAAATTGTATATTACCTTATCCAACAAAAAGTTTCTAGTTTACCTCACCTCAAAAACATATCTTGCTTTAAAACCAGATGCAACAGCTTCCGAGTCAGTATGCAATGCAATTAGGAGCCCCAGAGCTCCCCTTGGGGACTGCAGAGGTCCCGGCGTGGCAAGTCCGCACCATCGTCCTAAAGGCACTCTTGTACCTTCCCTTCCTGTCCACCAGGCTTCTACCCAATCTTCGCTGCAAGTTGCTCCCCTAATTAGAAAAATGGATTATTTAATTGTATACAAAGACTGTCTTGAACGTATTTATTGTAAAGCGTATGACACGAGTGTTTGTATTTCTATTTGTTTTATGCTTATTGCTTTATTATGAAGTCATTTTAATTTATTAATTGTATTGTACTATCTTTACTTGACGTGAAACAGTTAAGTCGAATCTTAGGAGCAACGAACAAATTATGTGAAACAGTCTGACATAAAAATCACGAAACTTAAATGAGGTCTCTAGTACAGGCATTTTCTAATTACATACTGATTAGGGTTCTTTTAAACTTACCCATATAACCCAGCAGTGGCATTCCAAGCATCAGCTCTAACTTTAAAGTGATCGAAGACAACAGTCACTTGTTCGTTTGGTGTTGCGACGAGCGTATACGTGCAATTGGTGTAAGAGGGATAGTTAGATGGATAACGTGGGGAATTAAACTCTCCTCTCTTTTTAGCTTCCGAACGATATGTAAACGCGCACAAACCACCTGGCGCTGCGGTGCCCGGGACGCGGTATTCTAAACAGATTAATTATTTGAAAATATAAATGAAATACAACTTACATATAATTTTTTTTTAGAAAACGTCAGTGGAAGAAAATACGATGTACATTGGATGACATATCCGAAATTAAATTAGTTAATGTTTCATACTTTACATTACATGTAAGATTTTACCGGCTGGTAATCTCTCCATACCAATTCGAAATAATAATTAGGTATTCCGGGTTCAACGTTATGCGTGGTACATCAACCATTAAGTTACGCAAGTAATATTTACCCGTTTCAAAGGTATATTTGGCCTTAAAGCCACGGCCCTGCAGCTCTCCAGAGCTGAAGACCAGGACCAGCCGAGGGCCATCAGAAAGGAGAGGTGGTGGGAAGGAAGGTATTATGTCCCCATCTCCACATAGCTCTGCATCGTGCTTGTCATAGGAATCAGTTGCTTCCTGGCCTCGAAGGTAAACCTTCAGATATCCATCAGAGCAAGTGCTAGAAGGAATGGTAAATTATTTTCATACACATTTTATTCATAAAGCATTATAACACATTAAACAAAACCCTAGACTAGAAGTTAATCAACACATTTATACATTTATTTTAAATTAGTTGCTCAATAACGAGAAAACAAAATGCCTGTGCTGAACATAGTAATTTTACAGTACCCGGCCATTTATAAGTCGCATCGTGCTTTAGAAAGTGATACTCGGCTAGCTTTGGCTTCGTATAGCGCCGTCTCTGTCTCCTAATAGCTACCGGTCTGGTAGTGTTTCATGCGACAGAGATGACGCTCTACAAAGCGAGTAACTCTTAAGTATCTCTAAAGCACGATGCGACTTATAAATGGCCTGGTACTGTAAATAGTTTCTTCTTTTTGTAAACAAGGTAACGCCGTCCTCTAAAACCATACAAGTTACGACAACCCTTCAAAAATAATTTAGACGTCAAGCAATAGTTTACACTTGATTTTTGAAGTAAATTACTTACTCGGGGTTTGAGATGTTTTTAGGTATAGAAAAGTTCTGAAACTCCAACCGCACTCGCTCGAGATTCTGTGAGTCTTGCATACCATATATAAAATATCTGAAAATTTTATATCATTATTAATTCTGTCTGTTTCAGATAAGAGGCAGTGGCGTAACTATACCATCTGGGGCCCGTGGCAAATTCTTTTGATGGGAATATCAGTAAAAATCGTCGAATTTAATTTTAATATCTAAACTTCGAGACTATCAGCGTACTCAATTACACGTTGTAGGTACTTATATATCCCACTATTCACTAATGGCCATAGGCCTCCTCTATTAGGCGAGAGGGAATGGTCTGTAGTCCCCACACTAGCCCAATGCGTATTGGAGACTTCACATTCACCCATAGAACATAATATCTCTTGGGCAGGGGCCCTCATGGGTCGGGGGCCCGTGGCATTTTGCCAGCCCTGCTACCCTATTGTTACGCCACTGATAAGAGGGTTTACGGAAAATTTAAATACTAAAATAACTTAGTATCAAATAGTAATATATTAGTATAATAAAATTCCTTACCTACAAACAACTTTTTGTATATAAGGGAATGGATAATTTGGATGGTACACAAATCCAGACGATTCCTTTTTACTAAGAATTTTTTGATCACACTCCGAGCCCCTAATGTGCTCAGCGTCGTGTTTACTTATAAAATCTGAAATTCAAGAAAATATTTATGTCCTATATTCATACAAACTTCATTTTATTATAATTATTCTATTGAATCGGTACTTCTTTCACTATTGCACTAATTTTGTTTTCCATAGTTCAAAAACAAATTGTCATCAAAATCGTTCAGCTGGGAGAAGATAGGATGCAAGTAGGATGTGTTAAGGAATAATTTAAATAGGCGACTAAGGACGTTCAGACGAAAAAAAGACCCAGTGGCGCTCTAACATTTTTAGGTCTGAGCTTCAAATTTCTGAATCTATTCCGTGATCATTTTTTTTCTAACAGGAAAATAGGTAATCGGCCTTCCGAGCTGACACACACCGTCAACTTTTCGGGTCCAAGGCATGCTAGATTCCTCACGATGTTTTCCTTCGCCGTATGAGCGAGTGTTAAATGCGCATATACACTGATAGACCATTGGTGCACCCGGGGTTCACTCAAACCGACGACCTCAGGGATGAGAGTCACACACTGAAGCCACTAAGCCAATACTGTTCATAAGGCTCACATTAAGTTCTTATAAATACAAGACGACTGCGCATATTTGATATGATACGTTACCTAATTTAACAAAACTTTCGGAAAACTCAAAGATGCCCTTAAACCCGCGGTTCTGTGTGTTGGCTGCTCGTGGGAGCGTAAAGAATGTGACCAGGAGACGTTCGTCGCTGGAGTACAGCACCAGGTTGCGTTGCTGGCCGCAATAAGTGCCTATGATTGCTGATGTGTTGTCGGGACCGTCGTATACGCGCACCCAATCGAATGGGCAGCTATAAGGTAAATTTAAAGCAATTTTAAAACAGTTGTATATATGTAGGCCTCAAGATAGTTTGTGTACCTAAATTGATATTTTAATTTGAAATAAAATTGTTATTGAGTTTTGCTGTATTTGGTTTTATTCTCAATCTTTCAAAAAAAATCGCGAAATGAGTTACATATATAATAATTAATAAATGTAATCATAATCCAACTGTAAATGAATACAGTGTTTATCGCCATTGTTTACTCACTCTGCGAAAATATAAAGATGTCGATAATATCGGATAAAAAAAATGTGCATAAACTGCGAACCCACCTTAGCAAATCACTACATAAGATGCACCATAGTCTTTGACATAAACAAATAATTCTTCAACTCACTGTGGCCCGCCGAAAAACAGATCGAAGTCTCGAAACTCGAGCCGTATTCGCTGTCCCGGTTGTCCGACGAACTGGTAGTTGCATGTGATGTCCTTCGGGTATATCCCGGGATAAGTGGGAGACACCAGCAGCCCTGTTTTGCGTTTGCCCACGTCGATCACGTACGAGCACAACGTGTTCGGTATGGGCGTTCCCACTTCGAATTCCGCTGGAACAAAGAACATGTAGAAATAGTTAATTATTCATATAATTAATCCTATGTTCATGCACACAAAAGTTATTTTTAATTATTTAAATTCAATATTTTAAACGTATTTCTGTTCGTCTTGATCAAATTAAAAAAAATGTATTATTTACCTTTCATTATTCATATTAACATTTCATATCTTTATTATTACCTTTCTGGCAATTTACCCGCGTAAAATTAGAACGAAACTGAGAGAACGGGTACATTTTGATGTGTGTAAACCATATTGAAGAAGATATGGTAATATAGATTAATATCACAATGAAATACTTATAAATTATCTTTTCTTGTAGGACTTACTTGCGTTGATGAACCGATAGCTCCCGTAAAACAGAGTAGATGGCGTGTATGTATGGTCGGTGAAGAATGCGAGAGCGACTGCGCGGTGAAGTGACACCCGGCGTCGCGGAGGAATAGGGCCGCAGTAACGTCCTCCGAAGGCCGAGTTGACGAGCTCGCCGGTCTCCAAAGAGGACATCTCTGAGTATATGTCCATGTACTCGTGCATGCATCTGGAATATATCAAATATGACATTTGGGTTAAGTGATCGCCACTAGTTATTTTAATGTATAAAAAGTTACAATGATAAATGTGCTAACCGATTTTGTCGGAAGCTACTCTCGACCAATCAAAATACGAAATCTGTTTAACAAACACTATATTTCGCTCAAAATTTTAGACTTCCTTACTCTGTTTAAGCTTCAGTAGTATAGAATATTATAAGTACCTAGTAGAAATACGAAACTATAATAAAGAAATAGAAATGCTAAATCAATAATAAATAAATACCTTCCTTAAAATATTGACTGTCAATAAAGGAATAAAAACCCGAAATTTTGAAACAATCATATTTTGAACGATTTTGTAAAGGAACGGTAATGGGTGTTTTGATTCGATGATTGAATAACTGAAACAAAACCGTTGAGATAAAGTGAATATTTCTGAATTAATCAATCAAATTGTAACTGGGTTAAGTTCCCAAAAATAGTGCGCTCCAATTCCTCTCTATAGCCTTCGAGAAGTATATTTATCCCATTCTATTAGGGAAGTAATGAAAGAGAAAACTTACGCTGGTAATTCTCCGAACGCCGCTCCACTGTAAGCAAACAAATTTATTTTATTCATAATGATGTCGCAAAAACTTTTCAAGTGTGTTATGATGGGTTTTACATAAAAGTGATTTAAAATGTGCATTTTTAAGATTAATACGCGATATATCTGTTTTATAGCCATATAAAAAAATAAAAAAAATCAGTGGCGCTACAACCTCTCTAGGTCTGGGCCTCAGATTACTGAATCTGTTTCATGATCATTTTTAAATCTAATAGGCAAGAAGGTGATCAGCCTCCATTGCCTGACACACGCCATCGACTTTTTGGGTCTAAGACATGTCGGTTTCCTCACGATGTTTTCCTTCACCGTTCGAGCTAATGTTAAACGCGCACATAGAAAGAAAGTCCATTGGTGCACAGCACATCGAACCTACGACCTCAGGGATGAGATTCGCACGCTGAAGCCACTAGGCCATGACTGCTCCTATATATATATTATAGGCATATAAAAATAGCAAAAATATTGACACAAAATTTTCTAAGTGATTTTTTTTTCCTTCCGATGTGTTATTTATATATGTATAAACAAATGAACTATGACTTTTACTCCTTTATCACGACTTGAATGTATTTTTAATAAAAGTATTGAAACATACTCTGGCGGCTTCCCTCTCAGGTCGAAAGTCCAAAACTCGACGAGCACTCGCTGTCCTGGTGCTGCTAGAAATGTGTAGAGGCACTGCCGACTCTGGTTGTATGGATTGTGGAGTTCTGGAGCTGTGAATGTCCCGTTGCTGGCGCCCCCGCGGCTCACGAAGGTGCGATCGCACTCTGAAACAGAATAGAACCAAAAATAATGTAAATCAGTGTTTAATTAAAATGTTATTTAAGAAAATAATGAGCCCTTTGTTATTTTTTCCAAATAAAAAATACCAAATCAATAGAATCAAATCTGTACCAATTTTGATAAAATATAATTGATTGTATTTATCAAACATCGTTAACATCGAAATCCACATTAATAATGGAGTTTTCTTATGTAATGTAAAATGTTCTCTTAAATGCCCAATAAAGCCGATATTGGATAATCAAGAAAAATCAAGTTATCTTTGACCGATCTCCCCAACCTTTTTCCTTTCAATAAAACTTTCTAAGGCTTGAAAAGATCCTTCAAGATTATGGAAACCTTGTTAGAGCCATTAGTCTATTATGATAGCTTTTCTTAATCTCCATTCTTTTGATATCTAACTCATTAGCATTTTAATTATGCTGGAAATGAATCGTAAGGTTTCACAATGGTTAATTAAAATCTAAAAGGGTATACTCGTACCTACTACCTATATGACAGAGACAATTTACTGACGCTAAGGGTCTGTTTCACAATGTATGGATAAAGTACCAAATAGCTATGCAACACATAAATTATTTGGAAGATAAATTGTGTTATTTGACATTCATCGGACTCATAACTTATGATGTACTTTATGTGACGAATAGCGCTATCTGACAGTCGTGAAACGCAACAATAGTGTTTATCCAACCAATAAGTAATAAATAGCTAATTTCGAACTTATGTAGAACTTATCTGTACATTGTGAAACAGACCCTAAATCGAATGCAATGGAATAATTCAACAGACAATACGTTGACAAACTGAATCCGTAAGATAAATAACACGTATTATAAAATATACATATATATTTTTATAGAACACGAGGTGAACGGGTAGGAGGCTTATCTGATGTTCAGTTATACCATCGGCGCCCATGGACACTGTCAATGCCATAGAACGTTGCCGGCTTGATAAGAATTGGTACGATCTTTTTTTTAAGGAGCCTAAGTATTGATTCGGAATTACCTCGACGGGCAGTTGCTTCCACATAGCGGTGGGATTGAATTGATATTTTATCTACACTGTGCATAGATGTTAAAATTATTAAAAAAAATTGTGCGTGTACTAGGTGTATACACGTAAGAAGTGAAACTTCTTTATGATCTTATTTTTCGAAAAATGATCTACTGTATGCAACTTTACAGAAATTCGTTAAATTGGATAAAGTTTAACAATAGGCTTTTATTATCATAGACATGAATACAAATATTTCATTTTACCTTATTACTACGAAGATTATTATAGAATTTCATTAATTGTAATAGAATTATTACTATCATTGAAAAACGTGACTATTTGCTACAAAATTTCTCCCATACGTCGATAAAGAAGTTTCATTCCAACGCCGATAAAGAAGTTTGACTTCAAAAAGCAACATGGCACGTAACCGAAAAATGTGACGCGTAACGAAAAAATGTTACACTAAATTTTTTTCCAACCTCGGTAAAGAAGTTTCACTTCAAAAATAAGCGTTTACTTGTTTTTTAATTTAAATCCAGCCAGCGAGAGATCTCCAAAACGTCAAGTTATAATTCTATATTAACTACGCACGTAATTGACACCTCATTGTTTAGCCCCTGTCTCTTACCAAAAAAATCCCATTATTAATTAAATATGTATGTGCTCCACTGAACGGTTTAACTGTTCAACGTTTCAACCCATACACGTATTACAATAAGAGGAGAGAGAAAAGCGAAAACTGGGTACAGACAATGAACATTTAATACAGACATTGCAGACTTCATGTGCGGATTTAAAATTACCTTACCTACCCGTCTGTAAGGGATTATTGCTGATTATTAAGTAACACTGTTTAGATCTCGCATTACATAAAATTGTTATAATTATTAGTCATAGTTCAACCTCAAACGCGATAGTTATTCAATAAATTTTCAGTTTTATAAGTAAAATTCGGGTTGTCGTGTAACAATACTAAATACACAGCAGAATTACAGAGCAATCGTTGTTAAAATTGTTGATGAATGTGAGGTAAGTTATATATTAGAAATGGTTTTTATTATTATTTTATAGTATATGGATAATGCTGTAAAAATAACGCAAGTCACCTACAGCCTCAATTCAATCTGAATAACATTAGATGTTAATCAGTTTTTTTAAAGAGAAAAAAGTATGTATCAGGCATTATTCCGATGTTGTTTAACACAGAATGGAAAAGTTTTTTGATCTGTTTGCTAGCAAATACAAACCAAATCTGGTTAGGTTAGGCTAAGTTACTCAGTTGCTACTTTGACTCCGAACTCAATTCATTTAATCTCAACCTATATTCACTGCCTAATATTTCCACCGTTATATATCTATTTATATATTTATTATCATATACCAACTTAATATAATAAATTATTCGTTGGTTTAAGGTTGGAAAAGCATTCAACCCAGAGCACTTAACAAAACTGTTCGTGTAGAACGTAAAAAATGTATACACCGGCGTGACCACAAATCCCTACAAACATCCCTACTTTTTATATTGCATTTAAGACGGATTTTATTTCAATTGCGGTAGAATTTTTTAAACGCGACTCTCTCGACTGTTTCGAAATGAAAACGGGTAAAATACTTCAACTTCAATGCGGAAATTCCGTTCCACTCGGCTGTTGTGAATGGAATATCTACATAAGTTAGGAAATTCATTAAGGTTAAAATTTATGAACGAAAATGAGTAAATGTGTAAATAAGTGTATTAATAAAATTGAGTCGAGTCTAGAAAACAGTTTAAAACATTTACTGTACTATATGGGCCTTCGAAAACTTTAGTGTGTTTTACGCTTGCATATTTACGTCCTAGCCGGCTGAGGTATCCTCTGCACTGCCTGAATCATCACTAGACTATATGTGGTGGTGGAAAGCAAAGAAACTGGATCGATAGCAGCCCCACTTATCACCAAATCTTAGTATCTACATAACCTTCTTATGAACAATTTGATTGTGAAAAAACGTGCCTTTCCTTGTATTTTTTCCTGATAATACAAAATGTATAACCAATAATTGTCCGTTATATTTTTTAGCTGACATATTGAAAAAAAATAATAATATAGAAGACTATAAAGTTTATTTTTCGACCTTAGAGAGGCACAAAATCTATATAAAAATATGTGAATTATTTCTAGTGAATTTATGTAACTCATATACACAACATACATATAAACTCAAAATGTAAAATCTGACTGATATTTATTATGCAGACGTCAAACTACAAAAATAGGTCTTAGTAGCTCTTTTGTTTACAGGTCGCTTACTTTGTGAGAATGAGAAAAAATGCCTCAGTGCAGACAAAATGTAGATGCTTTGAGCCTTTGTGTTGTAACCGACACATACCAAACTGTGAAAGGTACTCGTATAAGCGATTTTATTTTTTGTGTCTTTTCTCTAAACTCTTATTCATTAAAACCTATATTCTAATTTACATCAATTGTAGCTACATTTTAAAATTTGTTAAAAGTATATATGTAAGGAAAACATAATATATTTTCCTAAACAAACTCTTGTCTATATTGTATTTTATATAAACTCTTTTGTAATGTTGTCTTTTCCGTCTGATCGACGATGTTTAATTTATGTCACTTGACATAATATATGTAAGATATTTGAATTTTTTCATTATATTATTTTACTTTATAAAACCTAGAATATAGGCTTTAAATGTTGTTTCTTTTGTATTCACAGAGAAACGCAGATACTATTATAAAACAACATTTAACGCAGATACTATTATATACATTATATATAGATAATAATATCTAAGTAACTTGGCTATTCTGTTGCCATATGATGTTTAAAAATAAATAAAATTCAATAAACGTTATTACACAAACTGTCGAGTTTTGTAAAAATATTTGTTAAAGTAGTTTTATTAAACTTTAAACGTTTTATCTTGATGTACCTTCACCGAATTGTCGATAGATTAAGAATGGAAGTAGTTAAAAAGTGGGGCAGGCACTGAATAAAGCTGTGTCCGATTATTTGGTGGAATTCCGCAATCCCGTGTCGCCGCATCTCTTTAGCTCCCATCCACTTCCTTAATCATACAACCTATTAATTGCGGTGCATACTTTTTCCCTCCATCATATATACATAGAATTATCGAGTTTCTTTTGCAATTTGCAATTCTAAATAATGATATGTTTTTACGTTGTTTTTAATGTCTGAACTTAAAAGCAGTACTGTTTTCTAAATATTTTGGTATAATTAAAGGCTTCCAATTTTGTCTTATTATTACGCAAAAAAAAATATTACATCATAGCCGACAGCTTTAATTTTTCTGTCCGTTACCTCGCCATTATAACTTTTCCGTCCGACCACGAGCAGATTAAGCGTTCATTACTAGGGATTTATGCAATAAGTATCTTTTTTCCACCAAATTCTTTTAATTAGTACTTGGTGCTTCATACTAAAGTTATAGATAAAGCTATGTTTTTCTAAACTTGTTAATATGTATAACTAACATGTATTGTATACATTTAACAGATCTTAAAATTCTATCAGTTCCTAACTAACCAAGCCCTTTATTTCAATCTAACAGCCTTTCCCTGCTTCCATTGACTCGATTGTTTTTAAGATTTTAGAACTAAACATAGTCTTGGTTATTCAGGAATAATGTAGCATTATATTGGTGAAAGAATTTTAGAAATCAATATAGTAGCTTTTCGAGTATTTATTATGAAACTTTTATAAGAATGTTATATATATTTATAAATAATTTAGATAAAGTTTCCGGACAGTGACAAAGTACGTAACTAGAGCGGCTTTATTAAGTTGGTAAAACTTTGATTCTCCATCATTAAAGTCCATTTATTAATTTACATGTAGCTTATTAGTTTATAATTAAATTTATTGGGGTGGGTGAACGACTACATTTTAAAATACCCATATAATATTAAATTAAAATATCAGTGTGTTTCGTTCGGAATTATAAAAGTAATTATTATTTAATGAATATTTTAACTAAATTTATAAGATGATGTTAAAAAGGTAAGTAACAATTCAGACCTAGGACAAATAACATTATTACAATCAATCAATCAAAATACGTTTATTCAATTTAGATGCTTCTTAGAGCATGCTTATGAATGTCAACAACGTTTACAAAATTCACGAAAGAGCAAGACTACGCCATCCGTTCGCAAAACTACCAGGAGGCCTTGTTCTGAGAAGAACGGGCAAGAAACTCAGCAAGATTGCCCTCCCTTTACATTACAATTATTCAAAGGAAAATGTCATAAACCACATAGTCATTAAAGTTACATAAGTAAAAAAATAAAAATCTGTTCTGTGATTTACCACATTCACCATTACACACATATTCATAACACTTCAAAGATAACCAATCAAATTATAAGAATATAATTAGAACTATTGCCAAGCGTTTTTATCTTCCAGGTAGTCATTGACTGTGTAGTAACCTTTACACATTAAGGTTTTATTGTTATGTGTTTTGAATCTGTTTAAAGGCAGTTCCAATATTTCACTAGGAATCATGTTATAGCAGCGTATACTTAGGCCCATAAATGAAGTATTTATTTTCTGCAACCTGTAAGACGGCTGGAAAAGTTTTCCCTTATTTCTTGTATTCCTATTGTGAATGTCGCTGTTCATATATAATAACAGGATAGTAAATATCGATTTTCTTGAACAAATTTCTAAGTGAAGTGCCATGTCAAAATAAATAGCACGTATTTTGCAAGATAAAAATGATTGTACATCTGCTGCTTTGCCCCATAAAAAGAATTCCATACGACATAATGGAAATAAAAAAAAAGTGAGCCTCCTAATAGCGTTGCCGCAGCAACTCACTTGTCAGAAAGTTTAGATGCGAATGCCTCCATGGCATTTGAGTGTCCATTGTAGTGCCCAGAAATACCGTAGAATCAACAAAATTAATTTTCATTTTTCAATTTAAGCTCTATGTTGTAGTTTTAACATTAGGAAAGTAATAGGTCAATTATGTTACAACAATCTATGGACATCAGGTGAGCTTCCTGCCTAAACTGTTTGCGTTTTTCTAACCCTGAATAA